TAATTCAGAAAAAAATCATCCTGAACAGTAGACAACAGGGTACGGACGGAGAAAATACGAATGGTTTCCATTCTTTGAAGGGCTTTCCAGGTTTCGAAGAAGTAAGGAATGCGAAACAGCAGCCGAATAGAATACAGTTGCAAGCTGACTATGTGAATCTATTATGATATGAAGGGCTGACATTGCTGTCGACGCTGCCGAGTTCCCTTCAAGGTCTCTACCCTATAACCTATCTGGCAGACGGAGGAAACGATGGAGAGGGATTTCAAAGAAAAGCGCAAACATTTAATAACCAAGCCTACTTTGAAACCTCTCGTCTGTGATTCTATCCGTACATATTTGTAAATGAACGGAGAGATTATAGGCGAAAGGTTCCCATTTATAGGTTTCGTTTGTTTTTATTTATACGCTATATAAGGTAGACGTGAGAAACCAACAGCAACACGTTCGGAAACAGAACATGGAAGAGTTGCAGACTCCTAAAAGATCTGTTGAAACTGATGAAGAGCTCTGCTACCGCTGCTGGAGAGATGGCAATTCCTCCTGTTCAAGTCCCTTCCCAGGCCGAAGATTTGCCCATAAATCGCCATCCTTGTGAGACTTTCGGATCGCGTAGCGCGGCCATATAACAACAGTCAACAAAACATCAAATCAAATTTCGAGCTGGCAAAGGTGTAATTGCTTTTGCTAGTATGCCTAAATTACCATGAAGACACTGCGTTCATGTAAAACCTTGCGGTGAGAAATAAAGGAATGACAAATACAAAATAGTATAATCGATCTACGGATGATACCGTGCCTAGATGCGACTATCGGTGGCAACCTCCTGCCAACGTTTGGCACCCATTCTTAATTCCATTGTGGTGATGCGAGCCTTACTCGATGACGTCCTTGCGCGTAGCACGTTGTCTGGGGTGGGGCAAAAATTGAATGATCGAAAACAAGTAGAAGAACTATAAAGTAAGTTGGAGCTCCGTTGTTGCGGATGTTGGCAGACGATCACCTAGCCGGCGAGGTGTCGTCGGAGACGAATAGTGATGGCATCGGGATTGGCAGCAGATCAGTGTCTCTTTTATGGCCTTCTTTCGCTTTCTGTCGTTTATGGTGCCTTTCCTGTGAGACACCGCCTCTGGGCAGTAGGCGTTTTTCAAAAACGGCACAGAGAGGTGAAAACTGTAAAAAAGGATGGGAATGTCCCTAGATAGTAGCGGGATTTTGAGTTAAAAAACATCTTGAAAATCTGAGAACTTATATAAATATTTAAATACTGGATGAATCAATACAATATTCGAGTTGTCTTTTCTTACAACTTATGATTCGCAATTCGATGAATATATGTATAAAGCCCATCCTCTGCTGAAGAGAAATATCGTCCAAACAGATGAACCGAGATACTGAGTAACTAGTGCTCGAAATATTGTGTGTTCAGAAATGAACAATGTCAGCAGAAATCTTCATAATTCCGTCAAAACTAGAAGTTTTCAAAAGTACCTACTAAGTACAAAATGACATTCTTCAGGAGTCGCTCATTATGGAAATTCCTCAAATGTGGGTCATAGAAATGTGTTCAGGGCCGTGTCTATGGTCCGGTGTAGATTCCGACAGCACCTTTCTTTTCATCGTTAGTGGACAGCACTTCCCGCAAAGGCTGTTGTGTACTTTCATATGTTGTTTCCATAAAACTTCCCGATATTCCGAACTCCTCCACAAAGTCACATAGAAGTTTTGACTGTAGCAAATCATCGCTGCAAACACCTGAAATGACCAGTAGGTGAAAGATAAAGTCATCTCTAGCGTAGTGGAGCGAAGATAATTTTAAGCACATAAGTGCTTGGGGGCCACAGATTAATCTTGAAGATACAGTCTGTGTAGAAAAGGTTTTCGAGATCTGTGTAGAAGGTCTCAAAAATAACGCGTGGCCCCCAAGGAGAGAATAAGGAACATTTCCGAGTCGAAAATTAACCACGACAATGGGGACAAAAGTCGCTATGCTGAAGTACACACCCAACATTGCCCGAGTTATGAGCCCCCGCCGAGGTTGTGCCATTCATAGAAAAACGTTGAGCGCCGAAAAATAGTACGCCTATGTGACGATCGCGGGCACACATCCTCGTAACTCTCCTTTTTTGCTAGTTTTCTGAAACCCTACATTTCTCATAAACCCTCACAGCTTTCCTCGCCGTATTTGCTCTATTTTGCCCCATAATTTCCATTTTATCATTCGAGGCCGAAGCCTGAAAGTTATCATGAGTTGTGCCTTTGAAGAGTGACTTTGGAGGTGACTTTGAAAACAATTTTATCTGGAACTGTGTCTTCAATGGAATAAACGCTAGTAAGTGTAGTTTGCCTGCCCTACTGGCTTTCAAACACCACTAAATTAATAGGATGGTCCCTCTGAACCTTTCCTTCTATAATGTATTAGTCCAATTTGGCGCTCACTAAATGGACTGATGGAGGCGATTTTATGAAACTTACACAGTAGTTCTGGAACAGCTCTTCAGTATAGGGATCGACATGTGCTAAACTGAGAACATTTGCTCCTACTGTAGCCAGATATCTTGTGCATAGGAAGATCAGAAGGAGAATACTCATGCTTTTCATCGTACGTCTTGCAAAATCTTGAGGTTGATCCATATGTCGTTTACCTGAAAGGCAGGTTTCAGCACGATCAACGTGATCAAAACGATTGCATATGAGAATAGACAAAGTGAAGGTAAAAAAGGCAGGTGGTAATGATCGACTTACTGTAGTAGAGAAGAATTAGATAGGCGAGAAGATAGCCACATATCGTGACACCACCGCATATAAAAGCTACTATATACCAGTATTTTTTGACTTTCTCATTCAGACTTGATGGAGGATTGCACATATTTATTGGTTGATCATTTGTCATGATAAATCCAAAAATCACGGACAACAACCCATATATTGCAGATGGAAGAGATACGAGCATCACGTAGATTTCATTGTTTCTAACGCGATGCCTGAAAGCTCGACTTCTGTCGTACGCTTGGTATGGGAAGAGGATTTTAGACATTCAGAGGGTCAGAAATAATTACTTTTTGAGTAATTTGAATTGCTCCTACTTGAAGTCCAAACCATTGAAAAAGCATTAGTTATGGAACAGCTCTACAGTCCCTACAGTCCTTTTGGGTGTGCCGGTAAGCCCAGTCAGCTCAAGGAGTTACTGGTTTACTGACTCCAAGCCTCAAGTTATCCTCTCGTTATTCGAAAAAGACATCGAAAACTTACCAAAGAGGAAATGCTATCGATACGAATAAATCAACTGCTATCGTAGCCATCAGGCCAGTTTGCATACAATGAACAAAGACGTAGCCGAAAATAAGCTTCAGACATGTAGATCGAATACCCTAAACCGAAAAAAACTTTTTACAATATGTATACAGCAAAAAGACTCGCTTTGAAAAGCTAGGACTTATGCATGAATGCGCTACTGATTAGAGGAAATCTCCAACTAAAGGCACTATCAAATATCCAGATTCGGTTTTTTCCAACATCTTGGTCACGCAACAAACAAGACGTCAAGAGACAGTGAAAAATTTCCACAGTTAAAGACTGATACCCTTTTTGGGTAAATTAAAGACCTATTAGTCAGTATAGGACTACTTAGACTCCAAGCGATCGAAAAAGGTGAAAGTTTTAGCAGATGCGTAGTGATCTGATAGGAGAGCAGTCAATGTTTCCCAAGAGTGTTTTGCCTATGCAGCGAGTGACAAGGAGATAGTACCAGATGGTTTAGTTGCAGAACCGCGAAAGGACTCGGCCCCATAACAATGCATTACTGTGAAAGACTCAAAGCTCGTCCTTCTTATTGACTTTTCTAGTTCTTTCCACCCCGATGTTAATGTCGTACTNACTTAGACTCCAAGCGATCGAAAAAGGTGAAAGTTTTAGCAGATGCGTAGTGATCTGATAGGAGAGCAGTCAATGTTTCCCAAGAGTGTTTTGCCTATGCAGCGAGTGACAAGGAGATAGTTTCAGATGGCTTAGTTGCAGTACCGCGAAAGGACTCGGCCCCATAACAATGCATTACTGTGAAAGACTCAAAGCTCGTCCTTCTTATTGACTTTTCTAGTTCTTTCCACCCCGATGTTAATGTCGTACTTAGCTTCCAGCCTATTTGTAGAAAGTTTTTCGTCCTAGCCTCTCCAACAACTCCAAAACAGTAGTTCCTTTCCTTAATAGGTTCGAAAAACAGTTCCTTGTGAACACACTTTTCCAAGGCAGATATTCTTGGTAATAATCCAGTATCAAGTTTATCCAGAGGTAGCAAAAGCGTTCATGTAGGTACAAACCCAGATCACTGCTCCAATAGGTTATCAGCACTCAAATGATGGAGGATCTGCTACGTCTTCTGCTGTTGGAATAAATTTTTCAAACTGATACCACTTCTCACTATCGTTAAAAGCGAGAAGGTCAAAGTTTGCTTATCAATATTAGGCCAACAAACGTTGATTCACACTAGAAAATGTATACGTGGGTTGCCTTTTATATTTCGGGATCTGAGAACAGGAACAAATACTATTTATTGAAAATCGCTTGACTGCCTTCCAAAATTCTCAACATTAAAATCTATACACTTTTGTATGGGCTCGAACCAATTTCGAAGCACTTTCGCCACTCTGATTAAGGTAACTCCAAAACATGCATTCTGAACGCATCAACGGCTTCTTCAGGTGTCGAAAAACGTTGCCCTCTCATTTTATTTTTTATGTACGGGATGAGAAGAAGTCACTCGGTGACTACATGACTGATGACCTGTCAAAT